GGACTTCAACTCCCAGAATTCCCCAGCCAGCCTGGGGAATTCTGGGAGTTGAAGTCCACACGTCTTAAAGTTCTCAAGGTTGAGAAATACTGGTCTAGATGCTGTGGGTATCTCTATGATTGAGGGGATCTGCAGTTCCCAGCAGCCAGAAGGACCCAGACAAGGAAAAGGGTTCATGGTCCAAGAACATTTCCTGCTAAAAAGAAAGAGGGCTGGGATAAAGAGGGCAACTGTTTGCCCAGGGCTGGGCAACTTGTAGTATAACAAGTACATTCATAGAATCCTAAGGTTGAAAGGAACGTTGTAGGTCTTCTACTCCAACTTCTGCCTAAGGTAGGAACCTTCACACCATCCCAGACAAATATTTGTCCAACCTTTGTCTGAAAAACTCCAGTGATGGAACCTCCATGACTCCAGAAGGGAGGTTGATCCACAACTCCATAGCAGTCATGGACAGCAAATTCCTCCTCCTTTTGTATTTGGATCTCCTTCTGGAAAGCTCCCACCATTGGTTCTTGTCCTACTCTCAGAAGGTACAGAGAATAAATCCATACCCTCTTTCCCTCTGACTGCACTTCAAGTATTAGAAGACCGCTATCATGTTTCCCTTTAGGTTAAATAGATCCAATTTTTTTAACTGCTCCTCATAGGATTTAGCCTCCAAGCCCCTCACCATCTTGGTGGCTCTTCTGTACCCCTTTTTCAGCTCCTCCACATCCTTGTATTTTAATTCTAGACACAAGATTGGTCTTTCATAGTCAGAATCTCTGCTTGGCTTCAGCATAGGAGAGAGAATCTAGTTTTCTTTACAGTGAATGATTTTATTGGCAGTTGGGAGGGAAAGTGTAGGGTCTGCCAAATTATACTGAATCACAGCTCCCATCTTCTCTAACTATTGGCAGTGCTGGCTAAAATAGATGGGTGTGGGCATCCCAGTGACATAGGAGCGGGCAGGGTTTTGTCATTCTGCAATGGGACGATGCAATGATGCAGTGCAAGTAGAGGTCCAAAACGTCTGTGTTGGGACTAGATCTGGTGCCCTGCAAATTTCCCTTTCTGTGCTTAGGATTCTGCAAGGAGGATGCTGTCAGGACTGCTTAAATGGAAAACGTTGATGTTTTCACCAGAAACTCTGGCCTTCATCTTGGCCAGGTCCTGTTTGTATCTTCATTCGATGTTCTTACCTTGCTTTCAGATGGCAGGGTCTTTGGGAGATGTGCCCGCTAACCGCCCAATCTCAGAAGAGCTGCTGCCTGAAGACCCAGTGAAGGTGCAACTAGCCAGCGGTGGCAAGCAGAAGAGTGATAAGGAAGCCTTCTTGTTGGGTAGGTCTTAGCTCCTAAAGGCACCCCCATATCTCTAATCCTAATAGTAAACTTAGTGTTCCAAGTGCTTCGTGCTGTGTATCTCCTTGGCCAAGCATGGTCCCGTGCAGGTAATGTAGAAGGGGGCTATCCTTTTCTGTGATGAAAAAGAAGTGGAAAAGATGATGTTTCCCAAGATATCAGGAAAACGGTGAAAGATGTGGCTGGGTCTTGACGTATCTCCCAAAGCGGAAGAAGGATGAAAAATGGTCACAGCCCGTCAGCCCTTTGAAGTAAGCTAGGCCAGGAAACAGACTCTACAGGAACACTAGAACTCTACTGAGATAGGTTAAGTTTCCCCTCTTACGCTCTACTGCAGTGTTTCTCAACCTTGACAACTTTAAAATGGGTGGACTTCAACTCCCAG